AGAATTCGTCATTGTACGTTATTATTACTCGAAGTTTCCCGTAATAATCAGTAATTCGGCTGTAACCGTCGAGAAACTCTACACACCGCAATTCGATAGGATCTAGGATGTAGACAAATTACGGGAGATCTGATAGTGAACCACTAACCTGGGATTCTTCACTTGTTGCTGGTACTCGCTGGATGGCTTCCTGCTCTCCCCGAGGCTGTTGATGTTTCTCGTGATTCTTTAAGGACTGGCCTTAACAATTGCACACATGTGCTTAAGGACTGGCCTTAACAATTGCACACACGCGCTTAAGGACTGGCCTTAACAATTACACACACGTGATTTAAGGACTGGCCTTAACAATTACACACACGTGATTTAAGGACTGGCCTTAACAATTACACACACGTGATTTAAGGACTGGCCTTAACTTGTTCACACACGCGCTCGCGGTTTTTGCACAGTTCTGTATCCTGCTCGAATTGACCAATTTTATGTGTGGTCGTGGTGACCGTTAATTGTCGAAGGACCTTTGGTGTGGCTCGTGGAGCCAGCAATTTTTTGACGTACAAAAAGTCTGCGTGTGCCTTTCGAGAAGTTTATTGTGGACTGTTACAAATACGGGGTGAGTTTTTTCCTGCTCAGAGCGTTCTTATTTGGCGCTTGCGCGCCTTACAATTTCACGCCCGAACAGAATCTGACCCAATATCTTTTTTTTTTTAATAATATGTAACAATCTCAGGTCCCATAGTGTCTTTTTTTTAAATGTGAAATAATCTGGGGGCTCCTAATATCTTTTTTTAATATGAAAAAACTCAGGGGACCCTAATGCCTTCTTTATAAAGAATGGAAACAATCTCAGTATCCCTAGTGTCTTTTTTTAAAGAATATTGAATAATTTCGGAGGCCACTAGTGTCTTCGGAGTCTCGAGGTTTGATAATACAGAAGAAAATATGTTTTTCTGTTGGAGAATAAGGCAGTGTCCTTTTTGTAAAGAATCTGATACAATTTCGGATCCCTAGTATCTTTTCTTTTAATGAAACAATCTCAGAGTCCCTAGTGTCGTTCTTTAAAAATGTGGAACAATCTCAGAGGGCCCTAATGTTTTTTTTTATAAAGAATGGAAACAATCTCGAAATCCATTGTGTCTCTTTGTAAAGAATATGAAACAATCTCGAAGGCCCCTAGTGTTTTTTTTTTTTTGTAATACTTGTGAAACAATCTCGGGGATTCTTCGTGTCTTTTTGAAAGAATATGAGGAAATTTCGAAGGCCTCTAATGAATGTGTTTTCTTAAGAATCTGATACAATTTCGGATCTCTGGTATCTTTTTTTTTAATGAAACAATCTCAGAGTTTCTAGTGTCGTTTTTTAAAAATGTGAAACAATCTGAGAGCGCCCTAATGTTTTTTTTATAAAGAATGGAAATAATCTCGAAATCCATTGTGTCTTTTTTTTAAAATATGAAACAATCTCGGGGATACTTCGTGTCTTTTTGAAAGAATCTTGGTATGCTGTATGCTCTTGATATGAAGATAGAGTTTCACTCTATCCGGCCGTGCGCGTGAGCAAAATTTTTGTGTATGACATATGACATTTAGCGGGAGTACGGTAGAGACATCTATTGATGAAAGAAAATTCAAATATTGAAGGTGTAAAGTTGGTTGCATAACAATTATAATTTTTATTTGACTTGCTTAAAGTGGTTTTTAAATAAAAAAAATTAATGCATACTTAAATTTATTTATTACCAATAAGTACACAACAAATAAAATTACAAAAACCGTTAAATATTGATCCGCATTTAATTGATACTAACCATCTTCTTCTTACTTATGCAAAAATATCTCTAACCTTGTCTTACAGTCACAGGAGAACGTAGAGGGCGCAGCAGTTTTTTCTCAAATGTCAAAACCGCCATTGCGCATGACACGCATCTTTTTTTGATTTTGATAGTTTTTTGAGCTTTAAAGTTGTTTTTCCAAGTTTTACGTTTAGTTGTTTGTTGTTATTCACATATTCTGTGAAAAAAATCAGTTCTTATCAGAACTTTCATTATACTCGTTTGTTGTTATTAGCGTCATTAACGTGTTGAGACGCGTCGATTTTCATTAATTAAAACAATGCCTTCGAACAGAAGATGCTGTGTTTCAAATTGTAAATCTCGTGATTTGCAAGATTTTTCATTTCATTATATTCCTGTTGATACAAATTTGGCGTTGCAATGGAAAGAAGAGCACTTGCACCCTTTTCTGGTAAATATACAGATTGGTTCATTTCCTATATCTAACTTTTCGCTTCTAGACGTTGAAAATCTGTCGGAATATTCGACGATTTGCAGTTCACATTTTAAGCCTGAAGATTTTATAGTGTCTTCAAAGAAACGCACTCTTCGAGCGGGCTCTATTCCTTCTAGATTTGTAATAAATCTTATTTTACCGTTGCAATATATGTATGTTATTATATTATATTTTTAGCTGAACAGCAATACAGAATTCACGGAAAGTACTGAGTTCCCAGAGTCTTGCATATTTAACAATGTTTTTGACTGTGCCACTCAAACCTTACGTACATCGGCGCAAATAGAAAGTTTAGAATATACAAACCGCTGCCTAAAACAGAAATTAAAACAACTGCAGCTGCGTTATAATAAGCTCAAAGAAACAGTAGAAAGAGAAAAACAGGAAAAATCATTGTGTAAAGAATGGGAACAATTAAAACAAATAAAAAATGACGCCAAAAATTTGAATCCCAAAGCAATTTTAATTTTGGATCAAATTCAAAATTACAACAAGAAGAAACCAAAATGGTCTGAAACGACAATTCGTTATTGCATTGCCTGGAGATTTTGTTCGCCAAGGGGTTACGAATTTCCACGAAATGACTTCCTGAAACTCCCATGTAAGACAACATTACGAAAATATTTTGGTTCTGAAAATAAACATTTAATAAAGGAACGATTGACAAGCGAAATTAAAAATTTGAACATTTCGGAACGCGTATGTTCTTTAATTGTGGACGATATGGCCGTGAAAGAAAGTATCAGATATTCAAAGGCAGAAGATCGAATTTTTGGACTGGAAACGCTTCCTAAAGTCAGTACTATTACTAAAAAACCAGTTATAGCAAATCAATTACTCTGTTTTATAATTCATGGCATTTCAACAAAGTATGTAATCCCGGCGAGCTACTATTTCCATAAAAAATTAAGCAGCAAGGAGTTGCACAAACTGGCACTTGAAGTGTTGCAATTACTTGCAGAATGCAATTTATGGTTGTACGAATTGTTGGAGACAATCACAAAAATAATGTAGCGCTCTTTAAACATTTTGGAAATGGCTGCCTTCAAACTTGCATTCCAAATCCTTTCAGTGTTGGTTTAAAACTTTTTTTCAGTTTTGATTACTGCCACCTAATTAGAAATGCCAGAAACATATTTTTAGACCACGATATGGCTTCTGAAGACGGAATTATTTCAGCTAACTATTTAAGAGAGTTGGCCGAAATTCAAGGAAACTTAGTTGTAAAACCTGTTCGTTACTTAACAAGAAAACATCTGTCCCCAAGTAACTTGGAAAAAATGAAAGTACATCTAGCTGTTCAAATATTCTCAACTTCAGTAACTGCATCCTTGAGATATCTAGCCACGCATGGTTATAATGGAGTTTCTTATTTTAAAGAGTGTTTGGCTACAGTGCGATATTTGGAAACAATGTTCAAATTTTTCAAACTTCATGACGTAAGTAACAAAAGTCAGCATGTCCGACAACATGACCATGATGTTGCACCATACACTAATACATCTGATGATCGTTTATTATGGCTAGACCAAGAATTTCCATTATATACTTATTAAAGGCATCCAAGAAAGGTCGCAAGCGATGGGAATGCGGGGTTTGACAAAAGAAACTGCCGAAGTATTTTTGTTTACAAGCAAGAGCACACATCTCTGCATCAAGTACTTAATAAGTGAACTAAACTTTTTTATGTTTTGACAAGAGGATTTAGTTCCGATGCGATAGAGTCCTTGTTTGCTAATGTTCGGTTGAGAGGTGGGTCCAACGATGTTACAGATTGTAAAGCAGTCGAGCATGCACTTCGCCAAATTTTGAAAAGCGGTATAATTAAAAACGTTAATTCAAGTAATATTGCTTCTGACTGCAGTTACATTAGTTTTGTAACTCCTCACCCAGACCAAAATTCATTGGATTCTACCATCGTTATTACACTGGATGACTCTACATTAATGAAACTGGAAAAATTAAGAATTTTTGATAGTGCTGAAAATAACGAAGTTGTCAGCGTAGAAACTGCAGCTATAGCTTTTTTGTGTGGGTATTTAATTAAAAAAGCCAATGAATCTGTGGACTGCGATTTATGTTTTTCAACATTGAGAGACTTTAATCCCCACATAAAAAGTCCTCTATTGGAACTAATATATCATCAAGATCGTGGAAGATTAATCTATCCAAACAAACAATTTGTCGCGTTAATACACTTTATAGTAGAAATTATTGTTGAAGTTCTACCAAGTTTGCCAACACAAAATGTATCTTTTATTTTAAATAATGTTATATTTTCTTATCTCTACGGTAATCCAATGTTTTCGTGCAAACCTCATTCAAAAATTGTGTGTACTATAATTTTAGAAAAGCTTATTTCGCCCATTGTAAGCAATTTTTGCAGTAAGCAGGCTCAAACCCTTATAAAATATTCAAATGTCCAGGCTAAAAACCGAAAATTGTTAAAATTAAATTAGCTAAACAGATGTTATTTTACTGTTTTCTATCCAACCAATTTATTTTATTCCATTTTGACAATTTAAACTGACTTTATTAACTCCATAGTAACCTTCATAAGGAGTTCATGATTCACTAGTGAAATCAAAGCGTTTGAATTCACTAGTTGAATCAAAGCGTTCAGTGAATTAAAAAATTTCAATTAAGAACAGATTTTTATTTCTTCTCCAAAAATATTAACATTGAATTAGTCTTTGTCATTGTAGTGTGAAATATAAAAGTTACAATTATTCAAATTATTAAAATTTATATCAAATTTCCGATGAATAGGCAAAATAATGTCTTGATGATTAGTTTCTTGTTGTGACACGGAATTTGACCCAGAAGAGCCTGCTACGGGATTCAAGGCAGATCTATTATCAATTATTGTTGATGATCGCTCAATGATTTTTCTCGAAATTTCGATTTTATTATTCAGAGAATCCTCTATGTATCCTTCCACAACACTATTCGAACGCCAGCCACCGTGTCTCTTTACAACTGTTAAATCTGCCCCAGAGTCTGCTAGTAGAGTTGCACTCGAACGCCTAAAACTATGACCGGTGTATTCTTGTGGATTTTGGAAGCCTAGAAATTGGGCAATTTTTTTGGGAATTGTTGAAAAAGTGTTCACTCCAACTGGTTGTACCGTGCATTTTTTGTTCTTGTAATTAATGAACAACCGTTTGTGTGAAATCTTTTCAGGCCGTAATATTCTGTACTTCCGAAAAACGTCAATACATTGATGTCAATAGCAGGAACAGAGTTACTTCCATTGATGGTAAATGTTCTGGGTTTATGAGTCTTCGTGTCTGGAATTTGGACTACAAGTCCGCTACCCCTGTCTTCAACATCATCAACTGACATGGCCACCAATTCACCCATTCTACATCCTCCAAAAACTCCCACGACAAAAATTACTTTTTGCAGTAAATATTCATCATCAGAAGCATTATCTAAAAACCTTTCCATTTCTTCGAGCGTGAACACTTTGGATTTCTTTGGTCTGTGCCCTACAGACTGTTGTTTTAGGAAAGCTGACACTTGATGAAATCTATAATAATGAATATTTTAAACCTTATATTAACCATTGCGATGTCACAAACCTGCTTATATTAATATTTTCCTTCACAGATAACATCTTCTTCAGTTGGGAATAATACGACCATAGTGATGAAGATTTAGCATTTTTTGACCGTTCCGAAATATAAGCCAAAATTATTCTTTCATCTACTCCTTTTGCATGCTTTCGTTTCCTCCATTCACAAAAATTCGTATACTCTTTTTCATATGAATGCTTGGATTTTGCTGGCACCACCTTATTGATAGCTTCCAAAGCTTCGTCTAGGACTGCTGAGGGTACAAACACTTCGTTTTCGTCTTTATCTTCCAAAATTCCAGACATTTTTGTCTAGGAAAACACAAATGCCGCAAGTGTCACAAATTTAGAAAAATGTAAACAACTGGTTGTTAAGCTGGTTGTCACGAAAATTAGTTTCGCAGTTTACACGATTTCTCGATTCGAATTTTTATTTATTGAAATTTTATTAATAAAATTCGTCAAAATGGAATAAAAACATATATACACCGCGTGAATCAAACATATTTATTCACTCGAAGAAATGATGTTTAAATCTTAAAATTCAAACAATAATTTCTTAAATTTAAACTTCCGCTTTACGTCACGAATAAGAAGGTCAAGACCAACGACGCGAATGTAGAACGCTGAAACATGGAATTGCAAGCACCAGAACTGCGAAACGCTGACGACCACAAGAGCACTATCGTCAGCGTTACGAAGACAGCGGTAATGGAACAAAAGAAAATACAAGAAACTGGGACCCAATATAATTTCATATGTCTTATTAGTTATTACCTTTAGTTTAGAACCACTCACACGCTGTAAATAATTAGATTTGTATAAATAAGTTAGGTTGTTTTGAATAAAATCAGTATTAAGCTTTATTGGCTTTTTACTCACTCCCACAATTCTACCCCAGAATTGTTCAAATGATCTCAATCGCACTGCGTGCTCGTGATATCAACATCTTCTCGTGAATAAACGTATGTTTGATTCACTTGGTGTATAATATTTATTAGTTTTAATGCAGAGCCGGTATAGTCACAGGTATGTCAGATATTTTTAGATCATTTTTTACTGTAAATAGCCCATAAGCACAGCATAGATAACAATCAGTAGAGACAGCTCGTGTCGGCGCCTTTGTTCTTTCTGACCCGAATTTTAAGCCGTCATGGGTGGTCGTTGCCTAAACTATTCCTAGAGGTCGCCACCCAATTTAAGAAGTATCACTTCATTTACAATTTCAAAAATTGATTCGTACGCAATTTATTGCAAACTGTCTAGTTTGCTCAAATCGTATAATCGTGAATCGCAATAAGAAAAAAGAAAAGTCCATATTTAATTTATAAACACGCTGATTTGTTACAGTTTTTATTTTATTCATAACCACCGTTGTTGTTCGTTTGCGACGACTTTTTAAACAAAAAATGTGTTATGTTTACTATCTTTTCCAAGAATTCCAAACATGAAGGAGAGAATAAGGCGCACAACAGGGATCCGGTATGAAAATTCATCGGACAAAAATTTTACCTTTTATTGTGAAAATGACATTTTTATACTATTTGTACAATTCTACCGGAAAAGCAGTCTTAAACAAGCAAAACTGGCAAAAATATTGTAACAAAATTGCCAAATTTCAAATATTTTAGACGTCAGTTGGGCGCCCTCATTCGGTCATAATGCGAACGACCACCCACGAAAACGGGTCACGAAAAACGGCGAGCCGTCTCTACTGATTGATATCTATGCTGTGCCATAAGTTTGAAACTATTAAAATTAGGCAACCAACTATGTACCGTATGGCAGCGCCCCCAACTGTCAAAATAACAGCTACGCGCACGGCCGGATAGAGTGAAACTCTATCTTCATATCAAGGAGGCCGTGGGTATATTAAAATTAGTAGGACAAAAATTCAAAATATACAGAACTTTAATATCTTGCGTTGTTTGAGATATTTCACATTTATAGGTATATATTTCACTTTTATAAAATAAGTTTCGAAAATATATACAGCACAGATGAAAACTCTTGATATAGTAACGATGTATATTTTGTCTTCAACGGCGCCTCATACTCTACAGATTGTTGTTTTAGGAAAACCGAGACTTGATGAAATCTATAACAATGAATAGTTTAAACCTCATAAATAATCATTACGATGTTACAAACCTGTTTATATCAATATTTTCCTTACAGATAACATTTTCTTCAGCTGGGTATAATACGACTAGAGTGACGAAGATTTAGCATTTTTTGACCATTCCGAAATATAAATTATCTTTCTTTATATTCCCGGAAATATTAAATGTGCATATCACAAAAAAGATTTTTTTTACTAGAAATTTAAAAACGCTGATATAGCAAAAGTTACATTGTTAGAATCAGTAGAATTTGGTTATCCTATATTTGAATACTTTTCGTTTTAAAAAATCAAAAAATTCAATTTTAAACTTATGAAAATCAATTATTATCCAAAAACCTACCGATTTCAGAAGAAAATCGGTAGGTTTTTGGATAATAATTGATTGTTGATTTACGGTCCTTTACAGAACATGCGTGTTCCCACGTCGAAGGCGGTCAATATACATCGGACCAGAATTCCTCCTCGGACAAGTCTACGATGGAAATGAACACCACATTAGGGAGGCTATTGTACTGTACAAACCTTTATATGTAACAGTAGATAAGTCTGAAACAAACTGAGTAAGGCAATAAGTATTCTATTCATAAAGGCAGGGTATATAATATCACATATTTGGTTTAATGTCACCTCAAGACTGATGACAGGAATATTCGTAGTCAATTTGTATTCATTTTTGTACCCTGAGAACAAAAAAAAAAAAGAAAAAACTAGTGTGTAACACGAATTGACTTCAATATTATATTCCAACTGTGTCAAAAAGCACTGTGGTAAGCGCCAGTATATTTTAATTATATCGAGCGGCCAATCAATTAATAGTGCGATTATTTGATCTCCTTTTGAGAAAAATACATAGGTTGCACGTTACGACTTGAAATTTTAAACAAACACACATGTGTTTCGTAGATCTGGAAAATATCTGTCATGGGTCACTTTAAGAAATTTTGTATGCATGTTAGCGTAGGACCAGATTATTTCTTTCTCAGAATTTCGGTTGCACACGGCGCCACAAAAAAATGTTAGGGATTTCTGGAAATCGTAAAAGCTACAAAATCCACTTAATAAGTATTGCGTCGTGTTAAAGATTAGGGGTGTGTCCAATCGTCCAGATGCATAGTGGTTTTAGTGCAGTGTTTAAAATATTCCTTTTCAACGACTGTTAAAGTAATTTCAATCGTCAAATTTAGTCAAATAACCTTAATTACAAGTCAAAGCGTAATAACAATATGAATAATTGATCTTGTGATGCTTTCTCTTGTTTTTAAAATTAAATGAAGGTTCAATTTTAAATCTTCAAGTTTCAGTACACTGCATATTATTAATAAGCACATCCAGTTAGAATTAAATAAATTTTGTTAACTTGAAATCACCTGTAACAATTGTCTAGCCATTTATTAGTGAGTTTGCAACAATTCGCCACTTTGGCATGGTCCACTGTAATGCACATATGCGCAATAATAGAGCGTAGCCAAAGTCGACAGGTTCCCAGCGTCAGCGTCCACTTGATCCCAATAAGGGTGCAGATGGCCCTGCATTCCGCGAAATGTGAAAAAGTATCAGATTACAGTGCAGGTTCAGTCAATTAGCTAAACATGAAATAATTGAAATATTTAGGAAACAATTAAATAAACACAAAAACAAAAATCTGTTGAAAGGAATAATTTGTTTCTGATTTGTTTAGAAGATCTAAATTCAATAATTTAGTTCAACCCTTTGCGTGAGGCGACAATCAAGGGGCAGAATTTAGTTAGCTATTTGTTTTATTTTTTTTTATTATTTTATTCCATTAATTTTAATGTCATGTAGGTATGAGATTTAGAATGTTTCAAACTTAATAACAGCATTATTTTGAATGAAAAATAGAATATCTTTTTCTGCTGTTCAAGAATAGAGTCAACCCTTTTTGATAGAGACAGGTATAAAATTGTAGGCGAGAGGTGTAAACGATTGTCGCCCAGCAATAACATAGCTTAACAATTTAGTTGGGTGTGAGGAAATAGGAAAAATCATCGATTTTCTTTGCGTAGTTCGATTTTACACAAGGGGCGACCTCTTTGAGAGGGTAGTTTAACAACTATTCCAGTTTCCTTCACACATAACAATCGATTAAAATTCAATAATCTTTCTTTCAGGAACAATAAACAAAATTTGTTGTAGACATTTCAGTGTCAATGCTTTGGAAAATTTGTCAAAAAAAAAAAAAAACACATCTACAACAACTTTTGGAAAATAAGTTTGTATAGATTTATTCGGTGATTATAACTTTTGATCACGCCATTTATCCAACGGATATTGTTGGATAACAAATTTGTAAACTTCAGGACATTAATTGTCATTAACAATTATAATTAATAATTAGATTGTTACATAAAATTGGTTCGGTCAATTTAAGAGAGGGGAGTAGGAGAGCAGAGCTTAAGCCTGTTAATGAGCCAATCACGGCACAGAATTCGTAAAAATTTGCCCACTGGTACTGCGACGGCTCCAGGTTTTGGCGTCACTATTTAAGTAAAAGTAGGGTGAAAGAAGGGGACTTTTTTAACTTTGCCTTCTGGGGGTTAAAAGCCGTTTTATATAGTTCGTGCAGAAGAAAGACTTTTTAACTTTTTTTAACTTTGCCTTCTGGGGGTTAAAAGCCGTTTTATATAGTTCGTGCAGAAGAAAGACTTTTTTGACTTTTTTAACTTTGCCTTCTGGGGGTTAAAAGCCGTTTTATATAGTTCGTGCAGAAGAAAGACTTTTTAACTTTTTTTTTAACTTTGCCTTCTGGGGGCTAAAAGCAGTTTGCGTAGTTTGTGAAAAAGAAAAATTGTGTGTTAACTTCAGTTAGTTAAAATTTGGTGCTAGTGAAGTTACCCAGAGAGTTCTTTCGTTGCAGTACCACAGTATTCACAGGTAACTCAAAAATTGTCAATCCGGAACACTTAGACGTGTTTAGTCATTTTTTTTTCAAAAACAACCAAAAATCAACTTACTCCAGTAGGTCACAAATAATGTTGATAAAATGTTTTTTGTTGAATTAAGCCTTGAGTGGAAAAGAATTGCCATTATCCAAATTTAAATATGTCATTTCTTTCTGTTGTCCACTTTCAAAATTTAGGAACATAAAAAAAAATTATCTGAAATTTATTTGGTGGTTAAATTACTTGCTGAGGTTTTATAACATGAACGAAAAATCTAAAATGAGCAGTTAAGAAATTGATAGAAAAAGAAAGGGGTTTCACCACAAATAGGATATAAAAAAGAAGGGGGACGAATTAAATGACTTTCAAAACTTGGACGCATAATGAGTAAATTTCATATGCGTACTACAGTATTGCATAAATTAATTTGACTATTTTTTTTTTTGTTTTAACGTGGACCGTCTTTGCTAATTGTTGAATGCCTGAAATTACGAGCTCGTTTGCCACCGCGGGATACACAAAACAAAACACACACACACACACAAAAAAAAAAAAAACAGAAACAAAAAAAAGGAAGTTGTTTCTCAAAAAAAAAAAAACACAGAAACAAAAAAAAGGAAGTTGTTTCTCAAAAAATCAACAGAGCGCTAGAAACGTCCTATAACTATAGAAGCCCCGTTTCCCGCTCAAAACATCATTTTTTTTATGTAAGCGAGTCATTCGTTAATAAACTGGCCAATTCGTCGATGGTGCCGTTGTTCCAACCCCATCGCAATTCGCCGAGGCGCGTCCACATAAATCGCCGGTTCTTTTGGTACGCCTCGTTCCGAGAAATGTTTTTTTTTAATGATCACCTGGCGAGATAGCATGTGAGCGTAAGGCATTGCGTAAACGTAACTGTTGCTCAGCGTAACTAATACTCGATTTTGCTCGCGTTGCTAGGGCGAAACTAAACTTGTGGCATGAATTAACCCTTTCATAAGCGCTAAGCGAAAGCGAAATATTGTCGACAGCGTAACTCCGGATGATAGGGCGTAAACTTGTGGCAGCGTCACGATTTGATGTAATTAGAGAAATTTATTATTTTGTTGGTCGTTTGCATTTCTCTTGGAGCGGAGCGGCTAAATGTACCTGTTGTTAGGGCTGAAAATTTGGTTTCTTACCGCTCATCTACTTGAAAAAAAAAACAAATAAATAAGACAATAAACTTAAAGAAATAATAAGAATATATTAAAAAAAAAAAACCCTCTTAACTAGATGAAGAAACTTGTAAATAGTAAATAATAATAGTTAGTAATACTTTGTTTTAAAAATATTCAAACACTAACTCTCTGAAAATTGTTGAAGAAAAATTCTCTTAGTAACACAAATGACCTCTCTTTGTTGACCAAATCATATTTAGGGGGTACAATATTGATAGATTGCCTCTGTTATTTCATTATCTTTAATTTTCGAAACTGTGACTGGAAATATGTTGATTTCTGTGATTTTATTAATAAAATTGTAACTTGAATATAATTCTGCGTTGTCTTTAAAACATGTTCTCCCATGCGCTATGACACTACTTTATAAAACAAATCTGGAAATTTTGTGGTAAATTTTGTGAAAAGAAAAAAACTTAAACATCAGTGCAATTAATAAGACACAACGTAGGGTAAGTGAAATTTTATTTTATTTATTTAATTTGCGACAAATGACGATCACAGGTCTAATCACGATAACGTTACAATATTCAATTTTTCTGGCGTCTCCGTAAAAGAGGGGACTTGGATAATTTTGTTTTTCTTCATTTTTTGAAGAATAATTTGTCATCTCACCACAGCACCAATGTATAAGATTTAAGAATATAGAACACGACCTCTATTTAAATGTTGCCAAAGTGTTTTAGATGCACTTCCCTGTGTTCGTTGATTTTCTCATTTAGGCGTTTTTGAAAATTTTGATGTTGGATTTTTTCTTAATGTATTTATTCTAGAAAGAGTTACTGTTAAAAGATGTAGTCTAGAAGAAATGATTTATATTTATACCTATATTATTGTTGTTTGTTGTACTATTTTGAAGATGATACTTAATAAATGTTTACGAATTCTAATATGTATAATAGCAATTTTGGAACCGAACCATAATGCATAAAAGGTTTAAAGTTCTTATCGACGCAATCGACTCTAAGTGACATGACTAGTTGCTATGTCGAGAGCTTTCTCTTTCACGTCTGATTATTTATTTAATACTTACTAATTTTTTAAGCTCACTGTCGAAAACATGGATACTAAGTGTGCACGCAAAATTAAATTACATGGATTTTTACAAATACGGTTCTTTTGTCTTCATTACATCCTTAACGTATATAAAACAGCGTCTTTTGCCTGTAAACGATTAATATTAGTAAAAATAGTTCTTTAATAAAAATACGTTGGAAAAGAAGAATTGGGCAGTAAATACTATATTATTAAGAATAGTATAACTTTAAATATCACAAATATAAATGTCCACTTACCACGTCCAATTTAAAAGAATGGTCGCTGTTTTGTGGATTCCTTGAAGAATCGTGTCACTGGTGTAATAATGGCCCACATCAATACGAATTGCATTTATTATCACAGTTTAGTTGGTATATCTTAATGTAACAAATACATGGTTTTATTACAAAACACTCTGTATGGTCACAGGGCGTGACAGTACATTTTACGCTACACATTAACTATTTGCCATAAAATATCGGGTATCTAAATGAAAACTTGGTCAAGACTGTCATGTTAGCAGCTGTCATTCGTTGTCACACCAACTTTTGTGAATTAATAATTTTTTAATTGACTCCGACAGCGAAAGGACAACTGTCTCCAACACAATGACAAACACTATACGACATACGGAAAAAACAATAAAGTGGGAAGCAGCCCACTAACCAGGGTTCAATCAGACACCCAATAATTTTAATGTATATAATACATAAATAAATAAACTTAGCCGTGTTAACATGGATGGACTCCAATTATACTAAAATATATAACATTTATGACAGATATCACAGACTATTTCCAGAGAGTTAAAAATTAAAAAATTCTTCAAACCAAACGGTATATATATCAACTTAAAGAAAACGGTGAAAATTTCAATCTTTGACAAATTTCGTACGTTTATATTTAAAATATTAATTTGTTATTATTATTTAACGGTCTAAAAATAATAATTAGATCCTACATAACTATGTCGCAAAACACTGAAATATCAAGTCATTCCTCTATAAATTTTTGAATTGGATTTGAACGTTAATGATTTCTATATCTATATATATTTTCTGCATATTCACACCTTCTAAATTAACGACAAATTTAATCTTGATCTATATGTTCATTTTACTTGATTGGTTAAGGTTCTTTTATTACGATGCACTATAATAACCGTGATACATCTTAAAAACAATAAATTCAATGGCTTAAAATTTAATATTTTTAAATTGCCTTAGCAAGTAAACTAATTTTCTAAGCTGTGTTTTATGATTTCCAAAATGTCCTCTCAAAGGAATAGCGTCATTTTAAATCTATGATAATGGCAAATTTTTCGCATATAATAACATCGTTACCTTTAATAGATTTTGATTTATTTATAAGTAATTTGGTCCTAATACATTTTAATTAAAAATATCACAGAAACTGAAATATTTCGGAGCTGTCTGTTTCGATCATCGGACATAAAAAGAAGAAAATTTTGTAACTAGTGTGCTATAGCCAAAAAGTTTTATTGCTTATTTGCGTGTGCATGGAAGTGAAACTAGTAAGGAGAAAGGAATTCATCGTTAGGTTGCGTCGTATTTAAATGAAAACGATTACTAAGTATAAAATAGTAGTAACTGGCTGGATGGACATGTCAAATGAAATAGAATCACGCATATGCATATACCTACCTAACAAAAGTACTATACGATATCCGCCAAAAATTTTATCAGAACTCCTTTATCGATAATTGATTCGACAATTTTAGATTTCGTGTTTTTTTAACAAAAAATTTCTCATGTTACTGTCTAAGTTTCGGTTTTTCCAAGCGTAGTCCATCCGCAGTTTGCCACTGTGATCCAGAATATTCACTTTCGCACCATTCGATACTAATAATTTCAATGTACTTAAAGTTCCGTGTTCACAACCATAATGTATCGGCAGCCGTCCATTTCCATCCGGAATATTCACTTTCGAACCTTTTTCTAGCAAAAATAAAATTATATTATATCCCTCGTCGTAATTTCTGCACTCATGGTGCATCGGTAGCTGACCACCTCTGCCCGGAATATCAAATTTCGCTCCGTTCGTTACCAGTAATTCTACCAGGTTTAATGTTCCGTGTTCACAAGCATAATGTATCGGCAGATGTCAATCTCCATCCGGAACATCCACTTTCGCACCTTTTTTACACAAAAATAAAATTATATTACATCCCCACCGATCATTTCTGAACGCATAGTGCATCGGTAGCTGACCACTTCTGTCCGGAATATCAAATTTCTCTCCGTTCGTTACCAGTAATTCTACCAGGTTTAATGTACCGTGTTTACAAGCATAATGTATCGGCAGTTGTCCATCTCCATTCGGAACATTCACTCTCGCCCCTTTTTTACACAAAAATAAAATTATATCACGTCCCCACCCATCATTTCTGCACGCATAGTGCATCGGTAGCTGACCACCTCTGTCCGGAACATCAAATTTCGCACCGTTCGTTACCAGTAATTCTACCATGTTTAAATTTCCGTATTTACAAGCATAATGTATCGGCAGTTGTCCATCTCCATCCGGAACATCCACTTTCGCACCTTTTTTACACAAAAATAAAATTATATCACGTCCCCACCCATCATTTCTGCACGCATGGTGCATCGGTAGCTGACCACCTCTGTCCGGAACATCAAATTTCGCTCCGTTCGTTACCAGTAATTGTACCAGGTTTAATCTTCCGTGTTTACAAGCATAATGTATCGGCAGTTGTCCATCTCCATCCGGAACATCCAGTTTTGCACCTTTTTTTAGCAAAAATAAAATTATATCACGTCCAAACCAGTAATTTCTGGACGCATAGTGCATCGGTAGCTGACCACCTCTGTCCGGAACATCAAATTTCGCTCCGTTCGTTACCAGTATTTCTACCAGGTTTAATGTACCGTGTTTACAAGCATAATGTATCGGCAGTTGTCCATCTCCATTCGGAACATTCACTTTCGCACCTTTTTTACACAAAAATAAAATTATATCACTTCCCCAACCATCATTTCTGCACGCATAGTGCATCGGTAGCTGACCACCTCTGTCCGGAATATCAAATTTCGCTCCGATCGTTACCAATAATTGTACCAGGTATAATCTTCCGTGTTTACAAGCATAATGTATCGGCAGTTGTCCATCTCCATCCGGAACATCCAGTTTTGCACCTTTTTTTAGCAAAAATAAAATTATATCACATCCCAACCAGTAATTTCTGGACGCATAGTGCATCGGTAGCTGACCACCTCTGTCCGGAATATCAAATTTCGCTACGTTCGTTACCAGTAATTTTACCAGGTTTAATGTTCCGTGTTCACAAGCACAATGTATCGGCAGTTGTCCATCTCCATCCGGAACATCCACTCTCGCACCATTTTTACACAAAAATAAAATTATATCACATCCCCACAGATCATTTCTGTACGCATAGTGCATCGGTAGCTGACCACCTCTGTCCGGAACATCAAATTTCGCTCCGTTCGTTACCAATAATTTTACCAGGTTAAATGTACCGTGTTTACAAACATAATGTATCGGCAGTTGTCCATCTCCATTCGGAACATTCACTTTCGCACCTCTTTTACACAAAAATAAAATTATATCACATCCCCACCGATCATTTCTGTACGCATAGTGCATCGGTAGCTGACCACCTCTGTCCGGAACATCAAATTTCGCTCCGTTCGTTACCAGTAATTTTACCAGGTTAAATGTACCGTGTTTACAAACATAATGTATCGGCAGTTGTCCATCTCCATTCGGAACATTCACTTTCGCACCTTTTTTACACAAAAATAAAATTATATCACATCCCCACCGATCATTTCTGTACGCATAGTGCATCGGTAGCTGACCACCTCTGTCCGGAACATCAAATTTCGCTCCGTTCGTTACCAGTAATTCTACCAGGTTTAATCTTCCGTGTTTACAAGCATAATGTATCGGCAGTTGTCTATCTCCATTTGAAACATCCAGTTTCGCACCTTTTTTTAGCAAAAATAAAATTATATCACGTCCCCACCCATCATTTCTGCACGCATAGTGCATCGGTAGCTGACCACCTCTGTCCGGAACATCAAATTTCGCTCCGTTCGTTACCAGTAATTCTACCAGGTTTAATGTACCGTGTTTACAAGCATAATGTATCGGCAGTTGTCCATCTCCATCCGGAACATCCACTTTCGCGCCTTTTTTACACAAAAATAAAATTATATCACATCCCCACCGATCATTTCTGTACGCATAGTGCATCGGTAGCTGACCACCTCTGTCCGGAACATCAAATTTCGCTCCGTTCGTTACCAGTAATTCTACCAGGTGTAATGTACCGTGTTTACAAACATAATGTATCGGCAGTTGTCCATCTCCATTCGGAACATTCACTCTCGCACCATTTTTACGCAAAAATAAAATTATATCACATCCCCACCCATCATTTCCGCACGCATAGTGCATCGGTAGCTGACCACCTCTGTCCGGAACATCAAATTTCGCACCGTTCGTTACCAGTAATTCTACCATGTTTAAATTTCCGTATTTACAAGCATAATGTATCGGCAGTTGTCCATCTCCATCCGGAACATTCACTTTCGCACCTTTTTTACACAAAAATAAAATTATATCACGTCCCCACCCATCATTTCTGCACGCATAGTGCATCGGTAGCTGACCACCTCTGTCCGGAACATCAAATTTCGCTCCGTTCGTTACCAGTAATTTTACCAGGTTTAATCTTCCGTGTTTACAAGCATAATGTATCGGCAGTTGTCCATCTCCATCCAGAACATCCAGTTTCGCACCTTTTTTTAGCAAAAATAAAATTATATCATATCCCTCGTCGTAATTTCTGCACGCATAGTGCATTGGTAGCTGACCACCTCTGTCCGGAACATCAAATTTCGTTCCATTCGTTACCAGTAATTCTACCAGGTTTAATCTTCCGTGTTTACAAGCATAATGTACCGGCAGTTGTCCATCTCCATCCGGAACATTCACTTTCGCTCCTTTCTTACACAAAAATAAAATTATATCACGTCCCAAGCAGTAATTTCTGGACGCATAGTGCATCGGTAGCTGACCACCTCTGTCCGGAACATCAAATTTCGCACCGTTCGTAACCAGTAATTCTACCAGGTTTAATCTTCCGTGTTTACAAGCATAATGTATCGGTAGTTGTCCATCTCCATCCAGAACATCCACTTTCGCACCTTTTTTACACAAAAATAAAATTATATCACGTGCCCACCACACATTTCTGCACGCATAGTGAATCGGTAGCTGACCACCTCTGTCCGGAACATCAAATTTCGCACCGTTCGTTACCAGTAATTCTACCAGGTTTAATCTTCCGTGTTTACAAGCATAATGTATCGGCAGTTGTCCATCTCCATCCGGAACATCCAGTTTCGCACCTTTTTCTAGCAAAAATAAAATTATATCACGTCCCCACCCATCATTTCTGCACGCATAGTGCATCGGTAGCTGACCACCTCTGTCCGGAACATCAAATTTCGCACCGTTCGTAACCAGTAATTCTACCAGGTTTAAAATTCCGTGTTTACAAGCACAATGCATCGGCAGTTGTCCATCTCCATCCGGATCATCCACTTTCGCACCTTTTTTACACAAAAATAAAACTATATCACCTCCCCACACAACATTTCTGCACGCATAGTGCATCGGTAGCTGACCACCTCTGTCCGGAACATCAAATTTCGCACCGTTCGTTACCAGTAATTCTACCATGTTTAAATTTCCGTATTTACAAGCAAAATGTATCGGCAGTTGTCCATCTCCATCCGGAACATCCACTTTCGCACCTTTTTTACACAAAAATAAAATTATATCACGTGCCCACCACACATTTCTGCACGCATAGTGAATCGGTAGCTGACCACCTCTGTCCGGAACATCAAATTTCGCACCGTTCGTTACCAGTAATTCTACCAGGTTTAATCTTCCGTGTTTACAAGCATAATGTATCGGCAGTTGTCCATCTCGATCCGGAACATCCACTTTCGCACCTTTTTTACACAAAAATAAAATTATATTACATCCCCACCCATCATTTCTGTACGCATAGTGCATCGGTAGCTGACCACCTCTGTCCGGAACATCAAATTTCGCACCGTTCGTTACCAGTAATTCTACCAGGTTTAATCTTCCGTGTTTACAAGCATAATGTATCGGCAGTTGTCCATCTCCATCCGCAACATCCACTTTCGCACCTTTTTTACACAAAAATAAAATTATATCACCTCCCCACACAACATTTCTGCACGCATAGTGCATCGGTAGCTGACCACCTCTGTCCGGAACATCAAATTTCGCACCGTTCGTTACCAGTAATTCTACCATGTTTAAATTTCCGTATTTACAAGCAAAATGTATCGGCAGTTGTCCATCTCCATCCGGAACATCCACTTTCGCACCTTTTTTACACAAAAATAAAATAATATCACGTGCCCACCACACATTTCTGCACGCATAGTGCATCGGTAGCTGACCACCTCTGTCCGGAACATCAAATTTCGCTCCGTTTGTTACCAGTAATTCTACCAGGTTTAATCTTCCGTGATTACAAGCATAATGTATCGGCAGTTGTCCATCTCCATTTGAAACATCCAGTTTTGCACCTTTTTTCAGCAAAAATAAAAATATATCACGTCCCCACCCATCATTTCTGCACGCATAGTGCATCGGTAGCTGACCACCTCTGTCCGGAACATCAAATTTCGCACCGTTCGTTACCAGTAATTCTACCAGGTTTAATGTTCCGTGTTTATAAGCATAATGTATCGGCAGTTGTCCATCTTTATCCGGAATGTCAACTTTCGCACCATTGGTTAACAGTATTTCTGTTACACCTAAATCTCCATCCTCACAAGCGTAATGAAGCGGCAACCGACCGTCTTTATCCAAAACGTCAATTTGTGCTATGTGTTTTAAACAATCTGAATACCCTTTTTGACGTGCAAGATCTATAGGACGTTTTCCGTTCGTATCCCGATCATTCATGTTTGCTTTTCTGAGAATTAATGAACGTAACGTCTTAGTTAGATTTTTTTCACATGCATAATGCGCCAACAACTGACCTTTCGAATTTGACACATCTGTTCTAAACCCTGGGAAATGTAACGCAAAACTCAATATTTCGTCAATTTCCGAATTTAAAACTAAAAGTTCTTCTACACAGTCCCATTCCGAACTGAATCGTTTTTCAGAAAGTACTTTTTTTAATATTTGCGCTGACCTGTTAAATAGAGCTAAGGCCAAAATGCTTCTTGAACTAATATTATTGTATGTGGTTTTTAAAGGAATGGAATTCTCAATACACTCATATATTATTGGACAATCAAACCTAATTGCATAATATAAAACTGTCACTAAATATTCTTCAGCGAACTGATTCCCGTCATATAATGGAATCAAAAATGGTAACAAAATCATCAATTTTTTAAAACACACATGACCCGATGCGCTGATTTTATAAAATTCTGGTGCTATATCACGATAATTTAGGGTTCTAACGACTCTTTTGTTATTGCTGATTAACCATTCCGCGTTAAAACTTTTGTCATTCAAAATAATATTGTTTTTAACAAATGGATAACTTTTATTCCAGGCGCAAGCCACTTCCAAAATGTCACGACCAATGATATCCTTTTTAAGTAAATCTGCATCAGTAAATTCCTTTAGACTTGTAAGATTCTTATATATAACACCTACTAAACATTTCGAATTTTTCGCTAATTTTAAATCTAAAAAAAACCGAATGTTGTTATATCTACTGTCAGAAATAAAATTTTTGTCACGTGCTTTGGATGGTTCGTTTTCAAATAGATATAACGCTGCAAAATATTCACCGTACGAATTGTGAATGAACTCAACATCATATTTAGATATAACGCGACTTATAAATCCTACATTATCTCCTTTGGTTTTAATTTTTTCTACAAAACTGTCAGTCGTCTTGTCGTAACGGAATAATTTATTTATAATTTTATGAAATAAAGAGTCATAAATGTAATAACTTGAAGCTAAACGTTTATAGTGGTTCATTCTAGCTTTTTTTTTCTTTTCAAATTTTCGGTTATTTTGTTCACAATCGAATGCAACTACATGTTTACCCTTATATAAAACCATAAACTTTTCCTCAACAAAATGTTCATATAGATCAAGAACAGTGAAAATACCGTCCAACAAAAGCAGGTATTTATCTCTGTCTTTTAAAAATAATTCTGTAAGCATAGAAATTTGTAAAGGAATGCCTAATATTTCATAATTTGGAAAATACATTATGTTTTTTCTTATTTTATTAAAAGTTTCACTTAACTCCTCACCGGTAATCCTTAAACGATTTTCTATATATTCTTTTTGTTCTTCTTCACTAAATTGTTTTATATTTCGCGTAAACGTACCTAATTTATTTTCCAAAATATCCCTTAAATTGATTCGAGAAGTCAACCATTGCTTCACTCCTTTTTTAGAAAATGCAATTACTAAAGTTATGATGTAAATTTGAGTGGCATCAGATGCTTCATCAAGTCCATCCCATATTAATTGTACTTGATATTGTTCCAGCATTGTTTTGAACACTTTCTGGTGGAAAGGGTTAAAGCAGTCCTTAAAAATTTCTTCTAAAATATATTTTAAGAAATTCTCCACGTTTGATTCGTGTTTCCTGAAGTGTAAGGCGTGGTTTCTGACGTAGATTAAAATGATCCACTTTGTAGACGAACTGCTATTTTTTAAACTCTTCGTTAATGTGCTTTTTCCCATTCCAGCATTGGCGCAAATAATGTTGATATTTTGTCGAGAATAACTAAAGTACTGACGCTCGTGTATAGTGTACTCCATAAAGTCACTTTGTAGACGAAACCTCTCAAGTTCGTCGATATATTTTCGTTCTGGGCCATAATTTTCACTTTCCATCCATTCCAAACGATGATTGTCTAAATATCTGAAGTGATGAAACTGAATTTCTAATTTTTTTTTATGCAATGCAGAAAATTCCTCGTGTGAAATTTCGTTTTCATAAATATATATCTTCTGTTCATGAATTGTGTTCTGAATTAATTCAACGTCATTCACTTTGTTGACTACTAAATTTGGCAAAAATTGTTGAAAATAGTTGACATCTGTTACGCAATCGACTAAAACAATTGTATTTTCACTAATCTTTTCCAAAAATTTTATGTCTATTAAAATTTTCGTCAATTTTCTTTCAACATGACTGGGTGGCAGAGCATCTTGGCATTTTCCAATCAGCAATGGAGCTTCCATCATTTCAACTAAATCATCCGTAGTGATGAAGTCGCCGCTATCTTCGCAGATTTTTAGCAAATATTTCAATTCAGCGTCTTTTTGCCCTTGCAGTGAATATGTAAAATTCGCTAGGATGTCTTCATACAACTGTACGTGGTTTTCTAAATCAGATAACTTTTCAAACAAGCATGGTTTTTGTTGACCATCTGCACTGTCGGGACGGGGGTCAGTACTACTTTTTTTAACACACCCATTAAACTTTTCTCGATCATCTAGTATAATTAGATTTTGAACCTGACATAATTTTATTGTTTCATAAACTTGTGGACACCCTTCAACGACTAACGGACTGTTTCCCAGCAACCACATGAGCTTCGATACTTTTGTTGCGTCCTTATCATAGAGACTTTCCTTTGTTTCTATTCCCTTTTCGATAAGTTGATACATGTTATTAACGTTAATTGTTTCTTTCATATCATCTACATAGTCGACAGCATTTGACCAAACTGAGTCGATTTTCTCGAAATTGTTTTTGTTTATTACAGTCAAGTCAAATTTCGAAACAGCTTCTTTAAAAAAATTTCTTTTGGTGTCCACTGGTCCACCAGCACCAAAAGATAACGGTTTGATAAAAGGTGAAAATACGCAAAGACTTATCATGTATTTCATCCATATTTTATTGAGTTTGGTTTTGTTTCCTTCCTGCATGCTCCACTCGGTTATAAAATGTAAGTACTCTCGGAAAGCGGTTTCAGTGCTTTTGAAATATTCCTTGAATATCTCAAGTATACCCGTTTTCAATTCTTTGACATCTGACTGATCAGTGTAGAGACACATATTTTTTAAAAAATGTTCATATTCCTTGAAATTGTTTTCATTTGCTTCAAATGTGTAACTCTGTCCTCCCAATTGTGAGGTACTTAGTAAACTATATTGTTCACATGGTGTCAATTTGCCAAATTTAAACTCATCAATGTGCTCTACATTTAGCTTAGAATTGGTAAACAAAACCATCTTGATACGCTTGTCAGATAACTTCGGCTCTTTTTTGAAGTCTTTGTAATAATTCTCGACGCTAAAGTTTCCACTCGATGCATTTAACTGCTCAATTTTTATTTCTCCTGATCTGCTAACGTGTTTCAACTGAATAGCGTACGTTTCCACTCGATCCTTGAATGTAATTTCAACTACAACGTCATCGAAAGAACCATATAGATTATCGTTCGACGACAAATAAAAATTTTCCACGTCATCGTCAATTATTAATTTTAAAATTAAATTCGCTATGTAGAGATGTTCGTAGTCTTTTCCTACGTCTGTAGTACCACTTCTCTTCTTAAATTTCTGAAAAGAATGTGTAGTAAAGTAAGAGGTTCATTTTAAAAAAGCATATAATTTAATAGATAATGGTTGCAGATGTAGGTGACTGTAAAAATTTCAAATAAAATTGGCAGAACAGCAAGTATAATAATTTTCAGATTCTTTGTTTTCAGTTTTCTTGTCAGAATCACTTGTCAGTTCGCAGTGTAATCTTGGCAGTTTTGAATTTGTGTATTTTTAGGAATTTTTGTAATAAAAGGGAACGTGAGGCACACATTCCTATTCCTGACTTGTCGTTTCTTTTTAATAATGACCTCAAATTAATCATTGTCTCATGACTGTATCGACAACCACTCTGAAATATGCATTATTATTATGCAGTAACAAAAACAGGGTGTTCTGTTTGAAAAAACGAAAATATCGATATTTGAAAATCATAACAAAAAATTTGTTTTTATAAATACTTTGTACATTAATAGGACTCTTTTTTCTTAAAAGAATATTGTAGCACAGCTTAAAAAAATAAGCCTATTGCAATTTTTTTTCTGAACTCTGCTAAACAATTTTAAGAACATAGGAATATTATAACAACGATTTATAAAATAAACTGTATATTTGTAACACCATTTCAAGACATCAAAGATGCTAAAATAAGTAACTGCTTTTGAAACAGATCTAATGGAAATATTTCTTTTATTCTTCGAGAGTGTAATAAGTCTTTCATAGTGGCTAGTCTATCCGAGTATTGTGGACGATTCTTGTTACTTTATATTGAGTATAGGTATACCAAAAATTTCTTGTCTCTTTCACGAAAAACACACAAAATTATTTGCAAATTCTAATATTGGACGCATGTTAGTTTTACAAATTTTTGCTGTAAAGTTAATTCATAAACAACAAGTTTAATAAGAAGACTATAATATTTTATGAAATTTAAATAGCAATTGCTTTGCAAAATTTTCGTTAGTGCGTTTCGATCTACACGATATTACTAAAATACATATAAAATTTCACAACCAACGGTCTAGTAGTTCGGAGATTATGGAGAAAACACTAAATATTTATTTCTTACTTACCTCTGAAGAATCTTGCAACGGGTTGATTTCAATGGAAGTATTTTCATGTTCGATCTGTAACACAACGAGAGCTAAAGTTAGAAATACTCAAATAAGAAGTACACAACAAATCATTTTTTTTTTTATGTAAATAGAACAAAATGCTATTGCGAATTTTATTTTTTTCTGATTTTACATTAAAATAAAGAATACTAAACTCTAGTAGCTAAAAAGTAACATAATATGCGTATGCATCAAGCGAGTTTTCCATAACAAAATTTTGTGATGAGGTCAGCAGAATTCTAAATTTCTAAAATTTTCAGAAAAATATTTCGACCCGTTTTTGATTTGTTCAAAAAAATTAATTACCGTCTTAATTTATTAATTTTTTTCAGTCACCACGAATAAGCTATTTAAAAAATATTATTACATTGATAAACCACAAGTTGTATACATTAATAAAACTTCCACATTTTAGACAGGTTTTATCCACCAAAATTTTGGATGATGACATTAAGTTTTCGAAAAGATAAATTTTAATTATTGGTACAATTTTATTAAACGGAAAATCTCCAAAACTACTCAACCGATTGTTGTCAAATTTTATGTAATTTCAGAATATCGTATAGATGCTGAAACGGTACCCAAAATTTCTCTAATCATCTCCACCAACAATCTGATGACGCCCCCTTATCATTTTGCGTAGTAAAGTTCATCTAAATTTTTTAAATCATATACTTCTGTACCCGTGGATTATGAATTCGCCTTAATTTTTAACACAATTATTCTAGTTTTTTGTGCTTCATTTAACCAATACCTCATTTTATGCATTAAATTCCTTATAATTTATCTAGGAAACTGTATTTATTTCATTGTACCTCAGAAGCAAAGGGCAAAGGAATTTCTATCGAAATCGCCTTAGACCAAACATCAGAATTGTTTATACAGGTGTCTCAAAAAAATTCATGAATGAAGCAATTTATTTCATTGATCAAATTAAAAACTTACGCACGTTAAGTAAAAATTAAATAAATAATCATTATAACTTACAGTATCGTGTAGAAGAACAGTTACTATTGTGCCTTGATAAATAAATATACAGCGTGAGTCACTAAGCGCGTATTTCGATATTTCGTTAATTATTAGAAATAAAAAAAAAGTCCAAGACTAAAATTCTACAGTTGTTTGAGGACCATATACAAAGTTATTTTCAACTAAGTGTACAAAACGTAACATGCGACTTAGTTTTATAAAATAAAAGTGATTTCACCGGAATAGGACTATTAGGCGCCGCCATCTTGGCGCGGCCGACTTGGCGCTTGCCATTTTGGCGCAAAGCCAACTTAGCGCAGGGACACTTTGACACAAGCCATCTTGGCGCGAGTACGTCGGTATATAATATAAAAAATATTTATTGTTTGTATTGTAAGGATCCAATTCGAATTTTTAAATTTCAAACGAATTCTGCGCGCACAAGAAACGGTTGGTAAGAAGAAGAAGAGGTTGGCAACCAACCACACCAAGAAAGAGACATGCGCGAAAGGCGGGGGTGGTATTATCTTTTGTAAAATGATTCACTTCCTTTTGACTAGAGATGGGCAAAATCGTTCCACGCGTGGAGCGCTACAACCGCTACCGCTACAAGAAAATAGCGCTCCAAGTAACTAGTTACTTTGGAACGTATTCATCACGAGTGGCGTTTGAGTACGACGCTTCCACTTGTCCGCTTGGAACTTGGAACGAATGTTCCAATCTCAAGTACCAATATGTAGCGAACGGACATTCTGGACACAATACATACTGACAACAATTAGGACGGGCACTCTACTTTCATTTTAATACAAAAAAATAATAAAATAAACAAAATTACAAATATTTTTATAGTCTTGTTTTCGCAACTTTCTGTGTTAATTCCCAATCTTCTACTAGACTGAGATTTTACAATTTTTTTCGGTTCCTATTGAAATACATGTATTCAATTAAAACTTATTTATAAACTATTTTATACCTAAGCTTTTATATCTTTTCTGATAATGAGTCATTTATATCGACCGTCGCATTCTTACAAAAAATTATCGAATATGCAGCGTCTTTGATACCGCCCTCAAACAAAATACAACACTTGCTGATTTTGCCGATTGCTTTATGATAAAACCGCTTTGCTTTTTATTTTATCTGTTTATTTAAATATTGTTAAACCTTTACTTTTGATCTGCGTTGCATACATTTTGTTTTTCTTTTTTTTTTCATAAATATTATAAAATAAATACCTATTTATAAACGTTTCCTGATATCTTTTTTTGTGTTGATAAACACACAATTATTTTAATGACTGAAAGATTATTCTCTTTTTTTTCAGTTCCCAAGCCCTCACTATTTGCGTTTCTTGTAACGTTCCGGACAAACGTGTTTTATGATTTCGTTCCTTGAATTTCCGTCCTGTAACTCCCGTACAAATATCCTTTCAAGTTCCAAGTGGAACGCAGAGTGGAACGTGTTACTTTTGTCGCGAGGAGCGCTACACTCCGCTACTCGATGGTAGCGCTACAATGGAACGGTTCCTAAAGTAACGACCCATCTCTACTTTTGACCACTTCGAGCAAACAGACGACTTCCTTTTGACCGCTTCGAGCAAACACACCACTTCCGTTTGACCACTTCGAGCAACAGGTTGTATTTTTAACTGTGAGTTATTCTGTGCCTTTGCTGTTGTTTTTTTATTTTTCAGTGTCGACGCTGTTCCACTGAAAGATCTAGCAGCCCCCTTTGAGCCACCCGGTGTTCCTGTCTTCTCATCGTTCTTACGACGAGGGTTTTGTGTTCCTTTTGGCGGTAAGCAGTGTCGATATCTTCGCATCTTTGGAGAGGTATGTTTTGACCACATGTTTTGGACTGGGTCCTGTTTCGCGGCGAGTTTCAAGTCCCGACGGTGCTTCTGACCTTGTGACTTATCGACGCGTGCGCTTTGTATTTCCACTAATCTCGTTTTTTTATCTTTCATTTAAAATCCGTCGTAGTAGGGCTTTATAGGTAGTGATTTTTAGTTCGGGCCATGCTTTATTTAGCTATATTTGTGAAATCTGTATTTTGGATGTAGGCAAACGAGTTATTTTCACCGTTCTTTGTTCAGGCAGCAGCCATTTTGAAGCGTCCATTTTGTTTCTTTTTTAACCGAGCACATGTTTTAACTGTTGAATCTATTGAACAAATTAACAACATTGCAAAGTCATTTAATAGATTCTCTATTAACTAACCTTGCAACATTGTGGGTCATGGGGAGACGTGCATTTTATTTCTTTGATTTAGCCCATCGTTTATACAACGCCACAGGATTCATCGCATATTTGCATCGCATATTTTCGACGCCTATTATAGTAGCCTGCATAGATATTGTAGCCGTCCATAGAGTCGAAATTTGCGAATAAAAATAAAATAAAACCGGTTCAAACGGAGCCGACGGTGGCTTGCAAATTCTGACGTCACTCTGGCACACGTTGCACAGAGACGTATTTAATATTAAATGTCATCTTTTCCGTTATGATATAATCTGTTTCATTTCTTAGCTCAATCTCGTCAATAAAAACAAAGCTCTGTTCACTGTAGACAAGTTGTGGTATGGTATATTCATCGTTGCGGAGGTAGGTGGAGCGAAAAACCTGGTTTTCTTAGCAGCAAACGCGGGTATAAACTAGTCCACGTGGACTGTTTGTTTCCTGTCATATTTTAGTTTGCTTGAACCAATTGCGTTGCACCAAACGGTTATTACACTTGTTGAAATACATTTTCACACTTCCATCTTTCTCTAGATCGTGGGTTTCGTAGCTGTGTGACAAATCGTTTGTCGTAGATAGAAAATAGTAAGATTACAGTGACCCTAAGATTTTGTGCAATCGGTCTTAAATACACCCCTGTGTGATGCGACGCGTGCTGTAGTGACAGAACTTGCAAGCCGTCGTCGGCTCCGTTTGAGCCGGTTTATTTTATTTTTATTCGCAAATTTCGACTCTATGGACGGCTACAATATCTATGCAGGCTACTATATTTGGAATGACGAATTCGCCCAACGCCATTTTGTGCCTGCAGATTGTCTTCCATGTTTTTGTTTATGTGTTTTGTTTGGGGAAATGTATGTGTAAAAATGGCCCACAATGTAGTTGAATCATTTCACGTTTTGAATTTTAACCAATAACCTGACTGGACACGAATTATTGTTAATCTCATGTAAATTTGTTTACTTCCTCTTGTCTTGTTAAAGCTCGTTTACTGTCGTCTGAACTAACTCGGTAAATTAGCCTTTACACGCACCCTGCCTGTAAAGCGTTACCGTGGCAGCTTTACAGGCACCGTGCCTGTAAAACGTTGTCATGACAGCACCGGAATCAAACACACATTCGCTGCGTCGGCCTTTTTCTTAATCTCACTAATACTGTGCTAATTGACCCTTTTCCTGTAAGCAAAGTGAGTAGACATTATATAAATTCCAATGATACAGAGTGAGACAACATCGCGCAGGCGAAGTCAGATTTTTAGAGCGCCAAGTTAAAATTAACCAATGAGCGACCGATTACGCATGTGTAGCCGCTTGCATTCTGTCAAAGCGGTTTGTTGTCACAGGCCTTTGCTCTGCTGCCGAAGTGCCGGATACTATTTCCAACGTGGTGTTGAAGATGCGTGCGCACGGAAAGTCACTATGGAAGTTTTACGATCTTACAGGAAAAGGGTCAATACTAACGTTAAAATCACCTTCAAACTCTTCATCTTCATCGAATTCCACAATTAACAGAGCTCAGAAACAAAATTAAACTATTTAAATTATTAATCGAATTTACAAATTGACAGTCCCGTTATTTTCAAACAATTCAATTTTCCATAGTTACCGGAGCAAACTATGAAAAATGACTATAATTTCTATGACTGTAATTTCAAGTAAAATTTCTAGAGATGCCAAAGTTATTCATTTTCAGGATTTTCAGCAAGAGGAAGTAAAACGTTGTACGCGGCTCGCTTGCAACTAGCCTTTACTGGGGCTCATCGGATTACAGGGCTAGCCCCTACGTCGCTCGCCCTGCAAACAT